CCGTTTTGATACTAATTTCAAATCAGTTATGTCCAGCGAAATACGGCATGAGTCACAACCGAATGGCAATTTCTAGCGTCTGGTTATTCCAATCTATTGCGCATGCTCTCCAGATAAGATGGCGTCACCGTTTGACAGGAGTTGTGGAATATGTCTAGCCTCGTTCTTTCTGGTCACTTGTTACAAATGACGCTGAAACGCACTATGGTACACGATTCGTGTATCAATGGTAAAATTAATGTTTATCTTGTCTTAAAGGAGCTAAATCTATAATATTTGGGATCTAGAAATTGACCCAAATGGGTCGCAACGCATACAATAATGTAGTGTGGATGTAAATAAACTGATTTACATTCAATCGTTTCTGTTTTTACTGTAATTTCTAATCAGTTATGTCCAGCGAAATACGTCAGAAGTCTCAATTGAATGGCAATATTTAGCGTCTGGTTATTCCAGTCTACACCGATGATATTTATTGTGCATGCTCTCCAGATAAGAATATAGCGTCACCATTTGACATGACTTGTGGAATATGTCTAGCCGCGTTCTTTGAGTCCGTTGTTCCAAATGGCGCTGAAACGTATTATAGTACACGATTCGTGTACCAATGGTAAAATGTTTATTTTGTCTTGAATATTGAATATCAGAAGCCCATCTTTTCCCGGTAAGATCACGACATCAATATTGATTTGAATTGACAAATAATTCGTGTTTTCAACGTGTAAGACTTTGTATGATATTGCGTTAGAGACTTGGCTACTTTAAATAAAGCTAATTATTTGGGAGTTCCATTCTTTTACTGCCGTGGTGTATTTGACGCTTGAAAATTTAAATCTCTAATATTTTACTGTAAACTGTCTCAATTTTAGAAATGTTCTGAATTATCTGCCACAGCAAAGCAATTACGTAGGAATAATATCATACAAAATATATCTACCATATAAACATTTAAATCTTGATTCTTGAAACGACTTTCCTTGAAATATTCATATATTAGTTATCTCTTTATACAGTTTCAAAATTCCCAATCGATAGTAGGGTGGGGGGGGGGGGATGGCCCAGTTGAGTCAACTGGCGTGGTTTCGAATCCCTGTCCAGCCTCGTGGGTTTTCTCCGGGTCATCCGTTTTCCTCCCTCTGCTAAAGACCCCTACCCGCAAGCGAATTATTGAAATAAAATTAAACCATATGTTAGTCCCGAAATGACCTAGTCTGTGTCGAGTTGACGTTAAACCCCATTTCTCTCTCTCTCTCTCCCCCTCTCTCTCTCTCTCTCTCTCTCTCTCTCTCTCTTCCCTTCTTCGCCCCCTATTTGCCAATTTTATTGCGTTTTTGTGCGAATCTTAGAATCTTAGAAGGTGTTTAGCAGTGGTTGTGCTTTTTAAACAAAAAGTCATTAACCTGTAAACTGATTGAGAGTTAAGTATATAACTAGAACATTGCACTAATTCCATCTCGTGCTACCTATATACAATTCATTATCACGACCTTGAACTAATAGCTATTTCATGACGTGTGCAGTGTTTTATTAGAAGCCCGAGTTATGCAAATACATGTCAAAATCTAAACACCTGACATTAACAATTTATTATAAGCTCTATGAAGATGTTTTTAGTACTAGTGATTTTTTAGAAAAAAAAAGAAAACAATTTTGTCATGATTAACGGTGAAGATATTTATCGCACAATGCTGTTAAAACTTGCTGAATCGTTAAAATAGACTTGAGAAACATCGTATAAGATCTGGTAAACTGTTTTTAAAGTGTTACTATAAATAACTTTACTATGGTATATACATGACGGTATATATAGTTGTAAATACTATAACTTTACTATGGTATATAAACATATAGGTATAGCAGTATACTATAACTACTGTACTATATATACTTCCTATATCTATATTAAGTTACCAGGTCTCTTTCTAAGTTCATTAACCAATATACGTAGATTTATAAATGGCACCTGGCGTGACCTGGCTACCTTTTCATAAACTGATCAAATTAAATAAACGTTATTTTTTTAATTTTTTTTTTGCGAATTGAATTCATCTAATAAAATACAGACCACCTTTTTTATGAATTGAATTCATCTAATAATATGTTATTTTTTTATAAATTCATCGAATAACATACCAGCTATCTTTTTATGAGTGGCTTTTTATTTAAAGAAAAACAACCCAAAGTAGTAACACAGCAAAATTTGTATTTGTTACATGAACATTTACATACTCAGTTGCTGTATCTTAAAGTCTGTCATTGAGTCAACTGGTGTGGTTTCGAGTCCCCGGTTGTACCTGACAAGGAATAGGGTCGCCTGTCCAACCTATAGTGGGTTTTCTCCGGGCCTCCGGTTTCCTCCCACTGCTAAAGATCCATACGCACAGACGAATTATTGAAATAAAATTGAACCTTATGTTAATCCCAAAATAACCTAATTTGTGTCGAATGGATGGTAAAATCTCTCTCTCCCTTTCTCTCTCTCTGTCTCTCTCTCTCTCTCATTGGCGATTGGTCTGTTTTAGTAGGAATTTCCCATACTTAACCAATTACCAAAAAAAACACAAAGCCACATGCATTGGTTTGTTTTTAGGGATTTCCCATAATTAACCAATTAGCAAATGCAACACAAGGTCACATGTATATGTGTAATGTCAGTCTCTGCCTGGAGCTACTCCTACTTTAAGTTTTTCTAACTCACATGATCGTAAATACATAGACGTTGTACATTCTACACTCCAACAATCTGGTATGTTGACCTCAATTTTATTATTTTTTACTATTCAGAATCTTTGTAAGTTTATAATTATAATATATATATATATATGTGACAGGTTTGTGTTTAATCATTCGTGTGTATCTTTTATCTTACAAACACAGTGTATAGATGTTTTTATATAAATGTTTTATACGTATAACTGTAAGTGGGAGGATTTTTTAATACTGCATATTTATCCCCCTCAGGTACTATTTGTTCTATTATCATACATAGGTACATATATTTAATATGCGCACCCGCCCCGCGTACCGCAAAATCTATTTGTTAAGGCCAGTTCAATTTTCGTCAAGGTCGCTGAGATGTAAATAAGGTTAGGGCACATGATTGTTGGTGAGATTGTAGGTTAGGGTTAGGATTACATCTCGTGACCTTTGATCTACCCCCCCCCCCCCAGTACTGAACAGATTGTTGTGCCCCCTATATGTACAGGTAATTCAAAATAAAAACAATATTAATTACACCTGGATACAGACCATTATAATATATCAATAACCCCTTCAGTACTATACTAATACTTTAAAAAACGTGTTTTTGTAAAAATAAAATTGAGTCATTGATTGTTACGTCCATTTTTGGGGGTGGTGGTGGTGGTGGGGGGGGGGGTTATCAGCACCGCAGTAGACCTGGCACTGGAAAGGAAAGTTTGTGGGGCGGTTTCATCCAGCCCCGTGCCCAAGAACGGAAGCTTCCTTCTTTATTTTAGAATCTAATTTTGCAATCTTTCCAGGGGGGTTGGGATGGCCTAGTGGTCTACAGTGTCGCGCTTCGACCTCTAGATGGCCGGTCACCTCTGGCTTGCGGTTGTGGTTTCGATCCCTGGTGTGGGCGTATGTGGTTTGGAGATAGGGGCGTCTTCTCAACCTCTTGCGCCAAGATAATGAAAATAAGAAAACTTGTCCGGAAGCGGACATTAAGCACTAAGAACAACAACAATCTTTCCAATTGCGGCCTTAGGTGATAGTTCATATCGGCAAATGTTTACTCTGTAGTACTGACACATATACTCCCCATGCATCCTTGACTGAATCACACATGACCGTTACAGGAAGTGCAAATATTTCAATCTATATAACATATAAACTGTCATGGCAGATTATACACATAATATCACATTGATCCGCAGTGAATATTCGCTAGGCCGCGACAATCACTAATAAGGATGACATCAATGCGACTTAATGAGCCACAAATATTAACTTTTTTCCTCCGACAAATTAAATTCTAAAACATTTTTTTTTATGTATTAGAAAAATAAATAAAGACGTTTGAAGTATTTGTAGGTAAAAATTATTTCCTATTTAGTGTAAATGGGTATTAAAATGAGTAAAAGGCACCATTCTGCCCGGACCAGTAACGTCTTATATATACGCCACGTGTTGAAGGCAGTCATCTTTTACAGAGATATTAGAAGACTTCGGTAATCCTCTGTGGAACAGATTGATATAATATTATTATGATATACTAGCAGGATACCCGGCTTCGCTCGGGGGTCATAACCCCGAAACCGGAAGTGGTAGACTAACGCCACCTGGCCTATGTTACTCCCCGGTCCGAGCTACCCCTATACCCCAAATATTAGACTCGGGGCATACCTAGTGTAGCCGCCAACCCCGAACAGACAGACAAACAGACAAACGACAGTCACAAATATTAGTATAGATAGATAGATAGATTAAATAAGGATTTGTGTTTCATAGGCTACCTGGCGTAGGTTCAAAACGCAAATTAAATACTTCATAAACTCACATTGTGGATTTGGAAAAAAAATTAAAACGGTTTTAAAAGCTGCATAGTTATTACATTTTAAATGGCTTTTGATTTCTTGAAGAAGTTTAACTTTAAAAATACATTCAAGCGGCACAAAATGGCTGGCTTTATTCTGAATTATAGCCGATAGTAAGTGTGATTTTAACAAGTTAACATGATAGAAACTAGTGAAAATAATATGAAATGGAGTTTAACGTTCTACTGTTCTTCCCGATTGGGCTAATGAAGACGGGCATACCCCATACAGTGTGCTATGAGGGAAATGTTGCCCACTCAGCGGCACTCCAGCCTACTCTTATATCGAATTCCAACTGTCAAGGTATCTTTTACGTGCACGCCAATGTGTACACGGGACCTCGGTTTTTCGTCCCATCCGAACAACTAGACAGCTGTCCTTGTCAGGGAATAGTAAGTAACTATAGAAATCTATTAAGTGAAGGTATATTATATTTTTCAGATTGAAGCAACATGGGAGAAGGTCAAGGTGAGGGTAGTGGGGCCGGTAAAGCCGGAATTTGTCCAGGATTATTATGGGGTATATTATGGTTTCTGATTCTATGGTTCATCGGATGGCCGGTTGGTTTCTTCATCGCATGGCTCTACGTGTTCCTGATACCATTCTCAGCCTGTATAGAACCTTTAAAGGGTGTTTGTGACGCCATCTTAAAATTAGTGCAGCTACCTCTAACCTGTGCTGAGAATATGATCGCTATGAAGCCATTGTGTGGTTAACTTTTAAAAAGGCTAGTTCCGGTAATGACTTGTATATTGTTATTTAGCGCTTTTCGTATCTCACTCACACGTACTGTGTATAAACTCATACTAATTTCTGCGGATTGAATTACATTATAGATGTATAAATAAAACTGCCACGATGTGCCTATATTTAACATAGAACCTAATGAAGTAGTCTCTATTGACAACGGTCCCAGATCCTCCCCCGTACGTTCAAGACTAGGGGGTTCTGGGTGACCAAGACTACTACTAAAGTACATTTAGATGATGGGAATACCGGATTGTTATGGATTACTATGGATACGAATGCAGAAATTGGACAATATAACTCATATGCAACTTCATCTACATAAACTTGCATACCCATTTTCATCTTAGAGGTGTAAAAGTTATTCTATGAAACTATGATCAAATTGACAAAAAAAGGAACAAAATTGTTTTCATTTTCAACGTTAAAGATACATTAGTTCAGAGTTGGCCATTCTTGCTTTATTAATTCAAAAATAAATGATAAAAAAAAAGAGAAAATATTGAAAATTTCAGTCAAATTACTTTATTCTGAACGAAGTGGTCACTGCTGGAAGTTTGTGCTAGAAATAGGCATCAACGGTCTCCGCACCGTCTCGGAGAATTGCCGATCGTTTGACAGACGATAACTCCACCCACATATTCTCGATTATCAAGTAACATTCTCAGTGACTACGGTACTCTCGATTGTCAGGCCTTTAATCGACATTCTCCGGTGGTGACGTCAGTGATTAACGGTAAATGTTAGCTTCGTCAGCCATTTATTGATTTAATAATTAAATGGACGACTGTTTAAACCCAAGCTGTATCCAAGCCAACCGAGGGTCTACAGAGTTGATTTAGGGCTTGAAATGTAAATAAAGAACTAATTAATAATTTCTATAACATCTGAAGCCTAAAGACCTGCAGTAGGCAGATTTAGCTCTTAACTAATGTATCTTTAAACATACATTATGACGTCACATTAATAATGACGTCAATGTATTAATCATATCAAACATACATTATGCAAGAGCTACATCTGTCTATTGCAGGTCTTTCTTTAGCCCTGAAAGGTTATCTAAATTATTAATTAGACATTAATTAACTTATCCAGACCATAACCAACTCTAGGTGTTATCGCTAGCCTGCGATATATTCTGGATTTGAATCCGATCTGCTACTCAACGTTCATTCATGATTAAATCAAAAAAATGATTAATCGAGACTATCTTATTTTATCGTACCGACTTTAGTAATGATGATCGAGGCTAGGCCGAGAATTCAATCGCTAAATTCTCGGTTCAGAGCGAATCAATTCAGCAAATTTATTTTACATTATCTAGTTTTTAACTATTATAGTGAGAACTGCCAGCTCTTTATCTAATCTCCCATAATGTATTTTTAATCTATAGGATACCAAATAATAGTTTATTACAGAGGAATTATTAGTGTAAAGTACTGGTTATATAATACGATCGTTGAATGGATAGGTTTATGTTGTAAATTATATAAATTAATAATTATTGTTAAAGATAATATCATTTATCTGTAGCTTAGTTATAAAAACAATTATATTTAGATAGTTCGGGATATTTTTTTTATTTTCTTAGGCCTGTTTTCCATGTATCCGTTTCCGCACGCGTTTTCGCCGGTGAAAACGTCTGACTAATGCAAATGTAATGGGACCATCCCCATGTCACCGGCGAACACGCATACATGAAACCGTTCCAATGTAACCGGCGAAAACCCATACATGAAACCGCTCCCAAGTAACCGGCGAAAACTCTATTTCGCTAAAACTCTATTTCTCAAACGTGATTACAGGATCCATAAAACAAGGACACCACGGTGGCTTAGCGAGTAACCCTGGCCCGATCCCTGTTGTTCCAGCCTGGCTTATCTTGGTGCTGGCGAGGACAGCGTATAGTCGTTCGGGTGTGCACTTGAAAGGGCCTTTGGCAGCTGGGTTCCTCCCCCCCCCCCGCTTAGCAACTAGCAACAGAAGTCCCATTTACACCATTTGCAAAGCTCCGTTTATAGCACACTAAAGCCGGTTGACACAGACAAGTTAGACCCCAATCTCCAGTACATTTCGTTGAAACATCTGAACTGAGTTAGTTCATGGAGCAAATCTATATATTATCTGAAGAAGTCCCATTCTTGTTCTGTAAAGAACAACAGCTTGTTCGCAGGAATTAGCGGACCAACTAACGCATGACAGAGCGGAGACAATACAGACTAAATAGGTCCCCAAAACTACGTGAGTTTACAGACCTGCGAGCCTGTCATACTTGCATGCTCTTTCGAGGGACTGACAGAGGTGGCAGTTTTATCTACATTACAGAGACAATAAAGACACAAAACACATCTTACTGTTTCAGCATGTTGAAGGTCTTGTGTTTTTCTACGTCTCGGGTGCTAGCTAGAATTATATTAATTAGTAATCAGACAGATTTTTGTCTGTTCAGTAGAATTACAGACGATTATGAAGGGGATAATAATACAAGACATATTCAGGTTAGTCATTGATTTCCGATTAGCACAGTATTATTATCCAACTGATCAGAAGTGATTATTCGCTAGGCCGCTACAATCACTGGGAGGGATGACATCGGTGCGGCTTAATGACCAATCCGATTAAAATACAGATCTTATATTTGGTTTCTTTTTTTTTTATACTTTCATGGCCTACACCACATGAAGATCTGACCAGTTGTAGTAAAAAGTCGCGTCAGAGGTCCAACGAACGGTTTTGACCTATGACGTCAGACATTGATTAATCAATCAGCGTTGACGTTTCTAGTGGTTTATCCACAGTTCCGTGCATCGCACGCCAAGAAGTCGCCCTTACAGATCGTTTAATTGGCTAACCCCTCACGCTATCCAGAACGCAGGTTATATAACAACTCTTCCAGATCCTAGTGTAGTACAGACAAATAAAACGAAATTTTGAACTATAAAAAACGAAACGAAATAAAATCTGTGTTTTAATCCAATTGTTTAATGAGCTCACAATATTAACGGTTTTCCATCTGCAAATTAAATTCTAAAACATTTTTTTGAAGTAATAGGATAATAAATAAAGGTGTTTAGAGATTAAAAGTATTTCTTATTTAGTGGAAATGGGTATACAAAATAAGTAAAAGTCACCATTCTGCCCGCACAAATTAACGCAACAACGTCTTATGTAAACAATGCACGCACCATAAAACCAATGATACTTGAACTTATAAAGGTCAGTCATCTAATACAGAGGAATCAGAAGGCTTTCACCTCTGTTAAACATATTATACGGTATTACGTTTTCTGTTAAAACTGAGGCGAAATGAAAACGTGCCAATAATGAATCACACCAGTTATTTGATAATCTCGCTTACGAACATGGACATAGCAGACTTTAGACATATACTTATTCATAGCTTAATGTTATTTTTTTAAATATTTTCCACGTTACAGACGCCTGTGGTACTCATGCCCTCTCCAATTCACTTCTGGGATTTCAGGTGTCACCATTTTTCTTCCACAGAAATATAGTTGTAATGACCCTAGCTTTCAAAGTCACATTCTATACCCCATGACTCCTGATTTTTAACATTCCCTGTCGGTCGAATTCAATTGTTTGTGCATGAGATTTTCAATTATACGGTCATAAAATTAGAGAAAAGGATTTGGGGTCAATAAGAATATAATGCTTTCGATTCCCTGGTTGTATCTGACAAGGAGTAGGGTCACCTGTCCAACATTGTGGATTTTCACTAGGTCCTCTCATTTTCTCCCATTGAACCATATGTTAGTCCCGAAATGACCTAGTTTGTGTCGAGTGGACGTTAAACTCTCTCTTTCCACTCGACAGAAACTAGGTCATTTAGGGACTAACATATGGTTCTAATTTATTTCAATAATTCACTAGAGCATAGGGGTCTTTAGCAGTGGGAGGAAACCGGAGGATCCGGAGAAAACCCAAGAGATTGGACAGGCAATCGGGGAATCGAAGGCCCGCCAGTTAACTCAATGACAGAGAGAGAGAGAGAAATGGGGTTTAACGTCCACTCGGCACAAACTAGGTCATTTCGGGACTAACATATGGTTTAATTTTATTTACATAATTCGCTTGCGCGTAGGGGTCTTTAGCAGTGGGAGGAAACCGGAGAACCCGGAGAAAACGCACGAGGTTGGACAGGCGACCCTACTCCTTGCCACGTACAACCGGGGATTCGAAACCACGCCAGTCGACTCAATGACAGACCTCATGATACAGCGCGCACCGCTAACCATTCGGCTCCCCAGATGGGATAAAAAAAAGGGCACATATAAAAGTATTCTTGACAGAATTCCAAGTAGGCGGTATAGTGCTGCTGTCCGGGCAAAATTTCCCTCAAAGTACACTGTATGCCTGCTGTCTTCATTAGCCCAGTGAGCGCATAAAAGTAGTATATTAAACCCCATTTCATTGTTTTATTTTATAAATATAATATTAATTATAGTAAATTCATTATAAACAAATATAAATAACAAATGTTTGAATTATGTCAGTGAGTTCTGTTAGGATGTTTCCATCATAATTCTTTTACGTTTCCGATGTTTTTTCACCATTTCCGAAGTCACAAGTTTTTCCGTTTCTCGAGTTTCCCATTTTTGAAACTCTATTAATCCATGCTGCCCTGCATTAAATAAATGTTTTTCCATTTCGTCTAGTTTAGAAGTTATATTTGATGTGTCTAGTTTAAATGAGTTCTGAGATGAGTCCATGATAGTTCTAATTCTTGTTTGCATCGTCTACAAATAAAAATAAAGTATATTAATTATAAATAAGCCCCCCACCCCCACTCTCGCACTTAAAAATATCTTTGTTTCGACTAACGCGACCGACTAACTAAAACCACCCCCGACTTAAATTATTTTATTGCACTTTTCCGCTATCTTTTTATTTTATTTTGTGTGTCAACCTGAAATATATCACGAGAGTTATTTCCCTTTAATATGGCTATGGTTTGATTCATTATTGAAACTGGTTGATCAAGACGAAAGCATCATAGGTGTCGCTTCTCAACAAAATGGTTGTAGACGAAAGCACGTCCATTCCCACGAAATGATTCTGCCTCTATTTTTCTCGAAAACAGATATTGAATATCCGTTTTCGAGAAAAATGAAGGCACAACCCGCACGATCGTTAAAAACGTGTTGAGGGAGTTTCAAAGGTCAGTTTCTGGCAATTCGTGTGGGAGTCGTGCATCACGAAAAATCCCGATGTCATTGATTTGTTTGACAATAAAAGAAGACGAATGTTTGCACCCGGAAAATTATCAAGCTGTCAAATTAGCTCTTAAAAAAAAATCTGAAAAAAAACCCCGACCTACCGACCCTTCTCCTCGATTGTGGGTCGGGTTTGGTGAAACAAAGATATTTTTAAGGTCAGCCCCACTCTCGCACTTAAAAGAAATGATAATTGAGATGTCAAATATACTTTACATTTGTTACTCTCTGTATAAACTAAGCCTAAAACCGAGGCCCTGTGTATACATTGGTGTGCACGTAAAACATCCCTTGGCAGTTGGAATTCGATATAAAAGTAGGCAAAATTTCCCTCATAGTACACTGTATGGTGTATGTCCGTCTTCATTAGCCCAGTCGGAGCAAAACAGTAGGACGTTAAACCACATTTCATTTCATTTCAAACTAAGACTAGCTTCTTCGGTTGTAGTGTCTATATCAAAAGAGTTACTTCCCTTTAAATATAACAGAACCTCAACCATAAAAACCATATGTAACAAAATGTAAAGCCAACTTTAAGACAACCACATGGATATTTTTATATTTGGGGCAATGATAGCAGCATTAATTACCATGTGTATAGGTTAATAGAGGCAGAGAAGTGTATTGTACAAAATTTTACACACATAAAAAGTCTTAATATCAATTGACGATATACAGGTAGATGTAGCACAAATCAGATTTCATCTGACTTATTTCTAAAATGGTAAAACTTCTGAAACACAACTGGACAGCTGAACAAAAATGCCTTAAGTTAAGAATGTAATTGATGACATTCGACTAGCTCACGAAGAGAAGAATCACTGCATATTGTATAAGGCATTATCGCCTTTGTCACTGGGATTGTACTCGTTTTGAAAATTAATCTAGGAATATGGGCCTTATAGTCTTAAAGCCAAATTATTAGATAGGCCCTATAGCCAAATTTAAGAGAGTCATTTTCAAGAATTTGGGTTGACTATTATCCAATATCCAACAGTTAATTTGCCACCATTGTTAATTTGCTGATCTTTTTCCTTTCACTATCCCCATTGCTTTTGTGCCCATGAATTACATTGCTAAGCTTAATTTATGTAACTTGTACATCACCCATATTATTCATATAGAACCATACCTTGATCAGACATTTGGCAATATCATTTACTTCAGGGTGGTCAAAGTTTAACAGATCTGTTCCGAAACTGTAGAAATATGGACCCAGTTGATGTAAATCTACAACCGTGGCATCAGCTGTTAATATTTCTCTGTAACCTTCACGATATTGTTTTGGCATTTCAATACTAACAATCTGGCGTCTTCTACTGCACAGACCTCTGGCCATCCAATATGGCAATTCTAACTTGGTTCCTGGTAGAAGATCATCACTATCAGAACTGCTATCCAAATATCCTGAAATAAAGATTTCATTGATTAGTTAGGCCTATATCTTAATTATGCTTTTAACCCTGCTTTACATCTAAACAGCGACTACCGGTACCCAGTTCATTAAAAAAATAAATAGGCGCGTCTTACTTAATCTTCGGTTTGCAAAAATTATGTCTAAAATCATATCGCCAATCAACAAACAATACACAAGGTTACTTTATAAAAAAAAACATCAGTGAACTCATGTTGGTCGTTATCGGTCACCAAAGGTAGATGATCATTGGGTAAATAAAACAATTATAACGAGTAAAGCTTATTTCATACAATCAATTTACGTGTGTACAAGTCAACTATAGTTGTGGACGACATGTGGATGACTTAACCAATGCTTGTGGACGACTAAACTGTGGACAACTACTGCACACTATAGCACCTCCAACTGTGCGAGTCATGTCAATAGCTCTCTGTAAAGTGGAATGGGATTATATACTAGTTACATATAGTTGGGGGCACCACACTTACATATATTCACATGAATGTCAGTCTGCAGCACAAACTTTCAAACCCACTTGCCCAGTACAGTTACAGCTTTTATTTGTCCGCCGTGAATTTTACTTGTCCTGGGCAACTAGACAAGCGCTAATGTCGAAAACTGGACTGTGACACATTGGGCTGCTCCTATTTTGGTGCTCAATTTTTCATCAGCTGCACATTTTGGAAACTAGCTGCAAAATGAAACGTTCTGAGCGGACTCTAATAATCTAAATGCCTAAATTGGATAAGTAGGCCTGGACAGTGGTACTACGGCCTACTCTTATATCCCTGTCAAGGGATCTTTTACGTGCATGCCAATGTGTACACGGGACCTCTGTTTTTCGTCCCATCCAAATCCGAACGACTAGACAGTTGTCCTTGTCAGGTCCTCCGTTCTGCATCAATGACAAAGGGGAACCACACCGGAAAATCTGGATGAAGTTTCTCGGCCAATGCAGGGATCGAACACCCGACCTCCTGGCTAGCGAGCCAGCGTCTAATCCACTTTGCCACCGTGACCCCTTAATCTAAGTACGGTACTCAGTTATTGAGTTAATGTGTTATAACCGTGTGCAAAGTTTCACCTGTCTAACTGAATTCCTCACCTAGTCTGTAAATTGGTAGTTCCACTTTACAAGGTATTTTTTCCTGTGTTGCTAGAATACCATCTATGTTGAAATAATTATCAGTTTGTTTCGCCATAACCAGCAATAAACAGATCACAGAAAGCCAAACAGTTTAATCTACCGCCAAACTCACGAGCCAGGGTCAAGGTCTGTCGAAGGGAGATATCATTGTAATGTTATTATTTGGTGTATCAACATCGGTCTAGATAAACGTAAATACAAGTCAGAAACCAAAACAGAATTATTTAATTATTTGTAACATCACGATACTTTCGAGTGAAGGGATTCTGTGAATCGTCTTAGAATCGGAATTCAGTATTCGTTACATTTCATAAATAAACTCTCCCAATAAACATAAACTTCCGGTGTAGGAAAGCACATGTTTGTTTGTTTACAACATATTTACAGGTAAGAACGCCATTATGTTGTTATGCTTATAGCTGTTATTTAAAAGAACGTGTATTTACTTCTGAATCGTAAAAACTCAATATGTTAGATCTTGGGTGATGGTTTTTATTTATTTCTACTCAGTTATAGGCATTCAATCCACATCCAGCGTGTTTAATTGTCTGCCCGGGCGCTGGCTTTTTTTTTATTGGGTCAAAACATAGCCCAATCAAAGATTTAAACAGTTCCGTTTTAAACGACATTAGTATATATATGTACCTTGGTATCATAAAATCATTTCTCGTTTCTTTTCAAAAAGAAAAAAACGTTTAAAATGATTCTATAAACGAAGACGCAATTGTTTTGTGAAAAGTTATATGGGAGATAACTCTTCACGGATTAAAGCGTAATATCGGGTTACGGACATAACGGCCCAAACATTTTGTCAATTTTGGATTTGATAACAAATAGGTTCAATTCTGTCATACGTGGTCTGAGACGATTAGTATTTATTTGCATTGTGTTTAACTTACATGTATTGAATAGACCGATGTAAGTTAAACCATTATTTGATTAGAGTATTAGAGAGGTTTAATTCTCCTTACTGAGCCAGTTTTAGAGAATTCGTTAGTATTTTTCTTATTTTGTCATTGGCTGGTAGAAATGGATTATGTACAGCTGTTTCTTTTACCTTAGGTAAAAAAACCCAAAACAAATGTTTTACGTCTAGCTCAAATTACCTAATCAGATTAGGGGTGTGAAGTATCTAATTAGGGATTTATTACTAGTTAATCACCACTAATCCCATGTAGCCATCTTCAAAGAGATTATCAGAGAGAATTTTAATTGGCTAGGACAAGGAGTAGTATCGCCTGTCCAGCTTGTCCAACCTCGTGGGTTTCCTCCGGTTTTCTCCCAGTGCTAAATACCCCTACGCGCAAGCGAATTTTTGTAATGAAATTGAACCATTATGCTAGTCTAGAAATGCCCTAGTTTGTGTCGAGTGGAGGTCCCCACCCCCCTCTCTCTCTCTCTCTCTCCCTCTCTCTAACCATATAATAGCCCAGAAATGTCCTAGTTTGTGTCGATTGGAGCCCCCCCCCCCCCGCCTCCCTCTCTCTCTCTCTCTCTCTCTCTCTCTCATCCCAGTTTCTGTCGGTAATCTCGCACCAGTGTGATATCCTTTCAAAGCATATATTTGATAGATATTCCGATAAAGGTATGGACAGTATTCCATGAATCAATAATGATATCAAGTCGAGCATGTAAACTAATCCAATCTAACCAGTTAAAGCCGCGGTTGATAAGATTTTTTGACAACTTGTCACATTAAATAGATAACCAGACAAGCTTGGTTACCCTTTACAGCACACAAGCCGTCACAAGCACGCGGTTACCTCTTCCGGTCTGTCATATTTTTCTGTCATATTTTATATTTCAAATACTTCATTGTTGATAGTTCAAAGGGAACAGTTATTTATGCAAATTATTTAGACACTGGGAATGTTTTTGTAGGGGTAGTGAATTATGATTTTATGTTTAAAAGATGTTTATGCGAAAGGGGAATTATAGGTATGACTTCTCTTGGCTACAATAACGTTTTAACGAAAACCCATACTTATTCGTATGTTGCTATTCTAGTAGATTTTTTTTATAGTTTCATGTGGAAGTATATTGTCGTCGCCCCTGTCCGTTCACATTGTGTTTGTGGACACAGGTCACAATTTTTATCCGATTTTAACGAAACTTGAAATATAGGGGTATCTTCCTTACGATCATGGTTCCTTTCGAAATTGGCATGTATCGGACCGTAACGTCATGGATTATGGCCCCTGATTGTACGAAAAATCACGTTTTTAGTTCGTGGACACTCTAGAGGTCACATTAATTGTTATCCGATTTTGATGAAACTTGATTATAACCCAAAGTCCCCAATTCCTTTCGATATTCATGCATACCGGACCGTAATTTGATTATGGTCCCTGATTATACAAACAATCGCATTTTGGTTTAGCTTGTTCTCTGTTTTTCTCTTGCCAAATGTGGGCGTATCCTGTCGTATCCTGGCGTATACATGGGCTATGGCACCATGCTACAACCTCGCGTGGGTTTTCTCCGAGTCCTCCGGTTTCCCCCCACTGCTAAAGACCTCGACGCGCAAGAGAATTATTGAAATAAAATTGAACCATGTGTTAGTCCCGAAATGACCTAGTTTGTGTCGAGTGGACGTTAAACCCCATCTCTCTCTCTCTCTCTCTCTCTCTCTCTCACACACACACACACACACACCCACACACACACACCAATATCTATATGTCATATCCATTGGTGTGTTGTTATTTGTGTGTTTTGTTATTGAAATTGACATGACAACATTTGCTTCTATGTCTATATGGTCCCTTTTTACATCAATATACATGTATCACTTGCTTTAAAATTTCATTGATAAACAAACAAGCATACACTACCACGATTTGTATCTTTAATTCTTGAATATATAAGTTTAGAAATATACCTGCTTTTCTATTAGCCCAAATCATTAAATATACTTATTCTGGTAAGTTGTATTTCGAAACCAGACGTTTGAGAGATTTCTGAAGTGTACCCGATTTATTAAGAAGGCAAGCCCATATATGAGTACACAATGCGATATCGTATATGAATACGTACAGTTGGGTTACTTGTAACTCGGCGATAATTTCTCTTTTTCAAGTCAACATTTAATTGAATAATGTACCTGGATATTTTGTTAACCCCGAATTTTATTTAATCAGTCCATGAAGACATGTTATATTCCATAACACTACCTTTTTTTGTCTGACGATCTATCCTAATATTGTGACTGTCGTTCGTTTGTCTGTCTTTCTATTCAAGGTTGGCGGGTACACTAGGGCTGTCCCGAGGCTGAAATTTGGAGTATATGAGTAGCTCGGACCGGGTAGTACCGGGTAACATAGGGGATGCTTGATTGAAACGTTCCGAAATTGAATCTGTCAAACCCCAAAATAGTGACAATTTAGTGAAAATGGTATTTGGGGCTAGAACGCATGCGTCGACTGCATGAGAACATATCTCAACCAACCATAGACTGGACAACCTGCTCTAAATGACGTCAGGCTGGTTCCTACGTCACTGCGCTATTCTGACTGCAATATATGCAAGTCAGAAAAGGAGTGACGTAGGAGCGAGTCTGACGTATTAGAGCAGGTTATCCAGTCTAAACCAACCATGACAGCTGAAACATATTCATTAGGTTTAATTACATTGTACGTCACGATTCTACTCACTGTGACCGGACTGAATTCCGAGTAACTCGATTGCAATACTGTCAATTCGGAACGTTCAGGTCTGACAATCGAACATCATACAGGCCTGGTGACGTTATATTACTTTCAACCCGTGCAGCGCCGGACATCCGCTAATTTCTGATATTCTAAATGAAGTTTGATAGGAATTGGACATGGAATGATGTGATTATTTACATACCTTCGTACATGTGTGACTGAGCAGACTCCACGCAATACTGTCATTTATCTTTTCTCTTCCCATAACATAATACAAAACCCGGTTTTAATTCTTTATCGGAATCCCCGGTTGTACGTGACAAGGAGTAGGGTCGCCTGTCCAACCTCGTGGGTTTTCTCCGGGTCCTCAGGTTTCCTCCCACTGCTAAAGACCCCTACGCGCAGACGAATTATTGAAATAAAATTAAACCATATGTTAGTCCCGAAATGACCTAGTTTGTGTCGAGTGGACGTTAAACCCCATATCTCTCTCTCTCTCTGTCTCTCTCTCTCTCTCTCTCTCTCTCTCTATCTGAATCATCGATAGATCTAAAGCATCCACGAATTAGTAAATCACTGTGCCGTACGCTAACGTGAATTTGAAGTAATTACACCATTTAACTATAAAGAAAACATGACGTGTGTTTATCAATATCATCTTTATGCTTAGTTGACTCAACCTAGTATTACATCTCATTTACAATAAATTGTGTGTAAATTGTGTGTAACAGAGTGCATCCGCTCCAAGTTGATTAGGCAGCCATTTTGTAATAAAAATAAATTGTCAATAACGATTTTGATAGGAGCGTAAAGTAGTCGTGCGGGAGCTAGTTCTTCACACGGTTGGTAATATTGTACCATCCAACGATTTGGCAGGGAAACAGGAATATAGAACTACAGGACAAATTTATATATTTTAGTGTCGAATACCCAAGCCCTAACAAAGAAATCGCGACATTAAATTCTATACTTTAACCTTTTGAAATATTTACATTAGCGTATGTATAAAAAAAAACCTTTGTGTTCATGCTTTGTTAACTCTTGTACAAAGTCGTTTCCTTTCATCACCAAACAAATGTATTTACAAATAATCATCTTCAGTCGACCATCGACTAGACAGGGCTAGAAATTCACGCGAACCTCCGAATCTAATTCTTGCAAGGATTCTCGCAAGAGCTTACAAAATTTTTCTAAAAAGTAAAAAAATAAATCTCGGTGAATTGTCGAGTCCGACTGTTGAATGTCAGCCAGGGCCAGTGTTCACCATGGGGCCGTATTTTGTCGGCTTTAGTCGATTGATGTTTATTCAAGCTGCTTGGTAAAACAATGAATGGGCCACTATGGTATCGGAAATAATCAATCTAATTTTGGCTAAATTACAACGGGTTTAATTATTACTTGTTCGAATTCCAACTGCCATGGGATCTTTTACGTGCATTCCAATGTATACACGGGACCTCGGTTTTTCGTATCATCCGAAGGACTAGACAGCTGTCCTTGTCAGGTCCTCCGTTCTGCACCACTGACAAGGGGAAACCACGTCGGAAAATCCAGATGAACTTTCTCGGCCAATGCAGGGATAGAACACCCGACCTCCAGGCTAGCGAGAGAGTAGGCGATAGTGCCGCTGCCCGGGCAACATTTCCCTCATAACACACTTATGGCGTATGCCCGTCTTCATTAGCTCAGTATAGGAGCAGAACAATAGGACGTTAAACCCCATTTCATTTCATTTATTACTTGTTAATTAAGAAGACAATCAACCTGCTTGTCGGCTACAACAACAGTCATACCTTAGTGAGAACCGGCCATATGCGGTCCATAATCCGAGTAATTAGCACATTTAACGGTGATTTTGATAATCCGGTAAAATAAACAAAACAAACTTGCTGATAATTCATACTAGGTTCAGTAAAATAAGCCATGTGGCTATTGAGGACGGTCTGGCATGGTTTCCGAATTGCGCGTCTTCCACGCTCCGTCCGTGTGAATTCCAGGTACCGGTAGATATGAAAATAATAACTGGATAATACATTGATGAATTCATCGACCAGTTGTAAGTTAAATTTAAATCTTCATTGGATATAATCCCCTGATAGAACACCGAATACACGGAGAGAGAAACTGGAGAAGCAATGGGTAATTTCCCGACAGAATCTCTAATGCCGAATTCCAATGACACGTGAAATATCGGTTGGAATTATGTCAATAAACCAGTTTTGAATACATTACTGACAGAGGCTTAATTTCAAAAATATTATTGAAGGCTATATCATAGTCGTACAGAATTTTATTATTTTATAGCAATTTCAGTTATGGTTGTCACGTGATCATTGTGCCGTTTGTCTATCATCGACGAATGAATAAAAACTTTTGAAAGTTACGTGACTGTTACGTGATGGACAGAGGACTACAAATTGTGTTATGAAGAAATGCCACGGCGCCGTATCAACTTATTTTGGCTACGGCATTTTCTCATACTGGCAATAAACAATAAACACAATTTTGTTTTTTAGTCAGTATTATTAAGATTCGAAAGATTCACGCGGATTGCATATATGAGAATTCTCTTAGATTCTCGCAAAAAATGACGAATTTCTAACCCTGCTAGAATTTATGTACAGATATTCACCGACAGTCGACCCTCGACTAGAATGTAGGTACAGATATTCGCCAGCAATCGACCCTTGACTACAATGTTCTGGGTTCGAATCCCAGCGTGGCCCGAGCAGAATCTCATGATTTTGCAAGCCCAGTTTCCAATTGGAAGGGCTGGTGTCTGTGTGCTGACAAATGAAATGTTGGTGGTCTTTCTGATGGGACTGACCACAGGGGTCCACCGTTTACTTGTTGTCGAGCACCTAAATTTGGTATTTGACAAAGAATTGAGGTAGCGTATAAAGCTGAGGTGTAGGCCAAAAACGATCATTGGGATTTTCCAGTCTGGGTTTCCCTTGTTCGAGGAGCAGAAAACAGCGTTCAATCCTTCCGATACTACCAAAAACAGAGGTACCGTGAACACTTTGAATCACAGATCCTATTTCGTTTCGTTTTTTTTTTATAGTTCAAAATTTCGTTTTATTTGTCTTTACTACACTAGGATCAGGAAGAGTTATTATATAACCCGCATTCTGGTTGATGCGAGGGATTAGCCGTTTCATACGTGCTGTGCACGAAACTGTGGGTATCCCAGTTGAAATATCAATGCTGATTAGTTAATCAAAAGTCTGACGTCGTAGGGTAAAAAGCCACTCGTATGATCCCTGACGCGACCCCCCACTACAACTGGTCAGATCTGCATTCAGTGGAGGCCATCGAAAGTATGAAAAAAACGAAACGAAATATAGATCTGTATTTTAATCAGATTGACGTAAAAGAAACATTGGCATTTGGAATTGTCGGTGCAAGATCACTCGGCAAACCTCAGCAGATTCCAGTACCCTACATCTAGCCTCGGCTCTATGACGAAGTCCGCCATTGGAACTGCTTTCAAGTTCCCGGATTACCAACCAACAGCGTTGCCCATGACGACGCCTTTGAGGAATCTTTGATCATAAAAATATTTCGAAGTCTGAAGCTGTTTATCAAGTTTATCCGATTTTCTTCAAACAAGGACAACTTTGCACTGCAAAATTCTATACACTCTGCGAACGACGCAATTGGTTTTAGAAGCGACACATTTTCCTAATAAGTAAACCGGTGCCGCATCGCAATTGTATAGGCGTAGGTACATATCACTTACCGTCATACAGCCGAGTGGATGCAAGATTTCTCTCCTGGCAAACTGCACTCATATGAGCTTGGTTGATGCAGAAACCCCATTTCATTTAATTTCTTATCATCAAAGAAATTATTACATGAATAACTCTTATATTGAAGTGAAGCAAAACATCGTCCTTGGCGTCAAGAATACGGAGCATTGTTTACATAACGACTACAATCATGAATCATTCTCTTCTGTTTGAAAAACAATGAAACCATAGAAGGTCTGTTTTTCTTCAGAAATAGGATATTTTAATGATGAAATAATAGCATTTATCGTAATTTATCATGGATTGGTATTTGCGAGCTATGGAAATTGGAATCGGTGCCTTGTTTCATGTATTGTTTAAAGAGAGAGAGAGAGAGAGAGAGAGAGAGAAATGGGGTTTAACATCCACTCGACACAAACTAGGTCATTTCGAGACTAACACATGATTCAATTTTATTTCAATAATTTGCATGTGCGTAGGGGTCTTTAGCAGTGGGAGGAAACCGGAGGACCCGGGGAAAACCCACGAGGTTGGACAGGCGACCCTACTCCTTGTCACGTACAACCGAAAAAAAAAAACATGAAGTGAAATGGGATTTAACGTCCTACTTTTCTACACCGACTGGGCTTGTAGTCGGGCCATGCGTCCGTTCCTGCGGTTTGACGACGCCCATTTCCATCTAGGGTGATATCGTAGACAAACGGGCCATGCAATATGCTGTGAAGGATATTTGGCCGGAACATCCCACTCTACTCTCATTTTGGGTTGCTACTTGCTGATACCTTGTTCCTTGCTAGGCCCTTGATCCTGCACCACTGACATGGAAGAACCATATCGGTCAAACCAAGAGCTTATTGTGCAAGGTGGGGGGGGGGGGGGCGAATGGTTAGCGTGCACGCGTTGTTTGTATCATACAGTCTGTCATTGAGTCAGCTCTCTCTCTCTCCCCCCCCTCCCCCCTCACATATTGTGCAAAACATATATATAGGGAAGAATGAACAACACAAAAGAAATTTTTATCTTTATTTTAAATACAATAATCTTTATACAGGTGTAATTTTAATACCAAATATAGAATCATATATAGTAATATATTAACATAGATCTCTATTTTACAAACTATAAATGCTAAACTGGTATCAACAAGCCATCTAAATTGTACTTTTTCTACTATATGCGATTCTAATTCTATTCTAAGTTAAGACTATTCATAGCACATACTTCTTAATGAATTATTGTCAGGCAATGGACTTATACTTAACTTTGGTCCAAATCTGATTCAAACACAGATCCTATTTCGTTTCGTTTTATAGTTCAAAATTTCGTTTTACTTGTCCTTACTACACTAGGATCTAGAAGAGTTGTTATATAACCTGTGTTCTGGTTGAAGTGAGGGATTAGCCAATGAAACGGTCTGTTACGGCGAGTTTTGGGCGCGAGATATACGGAACTGTGGGTAAACCACTAGAAACATTAACGCTGATTGATTAATCAATGTCTGACGTCATAGGGTCAAAAGCCGCTCGTATGACCTCTGACGCGACCTCCCACTACAACTGATCAGATCTTCATGTAGTGTAGGCCATCGAAAGTATAAAAAACGAAACGAATTATAGATCTGTATTTAAATCTGATTGCTTTGGTTCAAAGACAGAACAATAGCGTAATAAAGTTAATAGTAATGTTCCAGTAATGTAGATCACTAACCTCCCAAGTCAGATCAGATAAGGATGCCTTTGTAGTGGGGGCTTTATGGATTGTATATATACACTAAGAAGCTTTTATTGTCATGAATAATTCGTTCTTAATATAAATGGATAATCAGAAATTAATCGCCACAGTTTATCGCTTCTTATTCTCAAGAAGGCGTCTATTGCCATGGCAATAAAGTAAACAAACTGTTGCCGTTTTTTATCTTAATGTTTTAAGACGCAGGTGATGCTAGACAAAAGACTATATTTTTTTTTAATATTATTTTCAAAAAGACAATAATCTGAGACTTTATTTTTAAAAATTTATCATCTTGGCATTTTATGACTAAGCAACATCAAAGGAAATGCATCCATCTTAAAAATACATTCTCTAGATTTCTCTTTGATCAATCGTATTAGAAGACAGAACTCGTTTATCTTAAAATCAACAATATCAAATTAACTTCCTTATAAATGTTAATTTATATATCTTCCTCGTCTATACACGCATTGCAAGTTAAAACCCTGTCTTCAGAGAACAGATTTACGACTTATAATCGTGCTAATCAGAAAACAGAATCATATTTATCGTGAAGCCAGAGTCAACAATGCGTCCCTTGTTTAAAATTGAACAATTCCACACTTTGTCCAAGCCATTTGCTTTTCTCGGACTACATTTAATTTTTCTCACGACCAAATCGAACACTTATAAGTGACGCTTGCTTATTTTCTGTGTTCTTCAGATTAAGTCGAATGTTGGAAATTTTTCACTTTATCCAATCTTATATCATATGGAAGTTTCACAATTTTGCAGATTGCGAGGGATTCAAATTACATGAAATGAAATGGTGTTGTTCAGAAGAAAGTAGAAATGAAATGTTGTTAAACGCCATTTCATGTCCTGATGTACTGTGATAATTTTTTTAAAAATACAATCAATATAAAAACACAACACAACAAATATCAGTGACCAAAAAACTTGAAATCCTGTTCATGACATAAAGCTTGTTTGACATTTCACTGATATTGTGTAACATTTGTCAATTTGTTTTGTAGGACGCCAACCCTTGTGCCTTGACAGTTTATTATGTCAACCCAGAATGTCTAAAACTCTAATTCTAAACAAGGCGCCGAACGCTAAATGTTCGAATGGAAAAGAAATAATTGTGTAAAGGTTAAACAGACATTATGTAAGAGCTAAATCTGTCTGTCGCAGGTCTTTCTTTAGGCCTAAAATGTTATCTAAATTATTAATTAGACATTAATTAACTTATCCAGACCATAATCAACTCTCGATGGCATCGCTAGTTTGCGATATTTACAGGATTATGATCCCATTTGCTGCTCGACTTCCATTCATAATTTAATCATGAAATGAATGATCGAGATTAAGTTTTTTTATCGTACAGACTTTAGTAATGATGATCGAGGCTGGGCGGAAATTTCAATCGCTTAGTTCTCGGTTCATAGTGGATCAATATGACCGAAATGTTCAGCAATTCCCCACAACATTATCTAGTTTTTAACTATGATAGTGAGAACTGCCAGCTCTTTATCTAATCCCCAATAATGTATGTTTAACTCTTTACTCATCAATATATCAGATAAACACACTTGAATACTTTAGACGAAAAAAACCGAGGTCCCGTGTATACATTGGAATGCACGTAAAAGATCCCTTGGCAGTTGGAATTCGATATAAGAGTAGGCGATATTGCCGCTGCAAGGGAAATATTTACCTCATAGGACACTGTATGGCGTATGCCCGTCTTCATTAGCCCAGTATAGGAGAAGAACAGTAGGACGTTAAACCCCATTTCATTTAATTTCTATTTAGACCTGAATCAAAGAGGTTTACTTCCCACCCCTCCGATCAGTTGGAATTTACGTTCTCAATGCAGAATCTAGATTATTGATAGCACCCTGTTTAGTGGGCGGCTAAAACCGATAAAAACTACATGAAAAGAAGACATCTTGACAGGTTTATATTGATCTGTGTTAATCAGAATTACCGACAAAGGAAGTTAACTTCTCTTGCAATCTCCTTACAATATTGTCAGCTCTTGATTGACATGACTGGAGTTGTCAAGTTGGTTTATTTTCTATATAAAAAACCCGAACATGTGTTCTGTTGATTTAAAGGTTAAACAATTCGTCTTGGCAACTAGAACAGTTTCATTTGTAGGAATTGTTCTGTGTCATGTTTTTGATAGGGGAGAGAGAGAGAGAATTTCGGGACTAACACATGGTTCAATTTTATTTCTATAGTACACTATATTGCCAGAATAAATAACATAATTTACCTGTTCTTTAGTGTGGCAATGAGAGAGGGGTGTCAACATCCACTCGACACAAACTAGGTCATTTCGGGACTAACACATGGTTCAATTTTATTTCAATAACTCGCTTGAGCGTAGGGGTCCCCGGAGAAAACCCACAAGGCTGGATTGATAGGAGTAATAAACCCATGCCTCTATTTGTCCTCTAATTCTATTTAAAACGCTAATCTATCGTCCACAAATTAATTTTAGCCCTTAAAATAGGTATCCAGAACCCAGCTAAAACATATTTATAAAAATCTTAAAAAAGGGAGCTTTTTAAAAACCAGAATCGACAATGTGCTCAGGCATTAAATATCTAATTCTTGTGTAGTCATAAAAAAATCAATTCTAATTAGGGTTTCACACGGCATAGCTTATGTAAAACACCATTGTTTACCAGTGAAACCCGTCATCACTGCATCGCAGTTCTAGTTTTATGTATTTTATAGTTTTGTTATTCATTGATTGTTAATACAGCACTAGGTTAACCTATAAATGATGGCACTTGGGATTCTTTAAGTCCCGCTCGTTCAATCATATAACACGATTAAGCACTTAATTTCATTAATGGAGCGAGTAGAAATTATCACTAAATCGTTATGTTCGGTTTATCGATAATTCAAGAATACAACGCAAAAAACAAATATAATATAGCACAAGAAGTGAATGAAGAGTCCAGGGGAAGAACGATCTAAGTCACATTTTTGACTTTTTGCATAAAAGGCAATTTTAAAAGACTTTTGGATGAGAATGCTTGACGCGAACAGAACAACGAATGGGTTTAATTACAACTTAAAAATGATGTTAAATACAAATCATAATTACCAGTACAACAACTGATTTCCACTTTTCAGCCAAATTAAGGTCAAATAAAGGGTACGATGGACGTATTTGTCCGGGAGGCCATTTCAGAAGGGCCTTGTTTTTACCTGAAATTGATTGTTCCACAGAAAACTTATGCAATTTGTTACCAGATGGTGCTCTTAAATGGGGTTCGTTGAAAAAAAAAGTGAATTAGATCGTTCTTCCCCAGGGCTCTTCAAATGTAACCACCACATCTACCACAATAATTGACATATTTAATAATAAAATTATATATTAATATTGGTCCCTTTACTTATATTACTTATATCACAACCAAAAGAATAAAGGACAAAATATAACTGTACATCTCTACAAATACAGCTTATTAACCAACTCCAATAACCGGACCCCGAGTTCACAAAGCATTCTCTGACTTAAGTTAAGAATTTACTCAAAATTGTTGGCCTTAATTTAAGTAAAATATAGATCTTCATCAAACTTTTGTAGTTTTAATGCATCAAATACATCAATAAGAAACTATGTGCAAAGTTTTGTGTTTCTGGATCAAAGATATTGCTCATGAACGGTGATTGAAAGTTGAGTAAATTCTTAATCTGAGAATGCTTTGTGAACTGGGGACCTGATACATACAAAATATCACTGTATATCTCTACAAATACAGCTGATTAACCTACTCCAATAAAACTGATACATACAAAATAATGACTGTACACCAACTCCAATAAACTGATACATACAAAATATGACTGTACACCAACTCCAATAAACTGATACATACAAAATATCACTGTACACCAACTCCAATAACTTGATACATACATATTATTTACATTTTATTTTTTTTTTGATTATTTCTGTATATAATGTTGACCTAATTTTATAAATGTCTTCATAACATCTGTGAGAATTCACACTGTATATATCGAAACACAACATCTGTCACTTTCCTACAGTACTGAAGACTTTTCCAGATAAATGGCGTATTTGTCTATTTGGTCTTTATCTGTGTATCCTATCACTATTTTTGGCAAGAAACCGAATTTTTGTTTTTTCATGACAAGGGCCTCCATTGAGGCTTCTTTCATACCCAATTGGAAAACCCATTTTCCGGCATTTTCATTTGTGAACACGGCAGAAAATTTTGGTTTGCCGTAAACATCAGACACATCCAAATAAGATAGTTTTCGATCTGCCTTTGCGTTCTGTTTCACAGTTCTTTGTAATTGCGGGCTGGATAATCCATAATATGTTTTGAAGTTCACTTTTGGCGCATTTGTCCGTTTTAAAAAGACAAAGGATATCTTTTCTTCGTCATCATGCATGATGTAACTTTGGACTAACGGATGATATCCCTTTTCGAGGTAAAGGCCCATTAAACTCATATAGGGTCTAGGAAAATGGTGGATTCCAAATTTCATGTGCGTTTTTTCGTCGTAAGCACCTTTTCTAAAAATGGCTAAAAATGCGTGCCGGGAGTCATGTGAAGCGCTCATATAGTTTTGTAAAAATGTCATGTTATAGCCCTCTGCCTCCAAAGCGATTTTATGGTGCAGAAGCTTCTTCTCCATTAAGCCGTGCTGTACAATATAATCCATAGCGTACTTAGCTGGAAGGTCAAACGGTTCGGCAAGCAGTGTGAAACAAGTGTGCCCATTTCTATCAGAAGCACTAATCCATTTGATATCCAGATTCTCCTGTTTGAGAGCTGAAACATAAGCATCAAGATGATGCTCATCTACTTTGTATTTGATAATCACATCTTTGTATCCAGTTGAGTTGTGGATATCCGACAGGTCTGAGTAGAATGGATGAGAAACGGCTTTGACGTCCACGAACGAAACCAGTTCATGGGCCTTGTGTTTAAGATGCTGAAGACCTTTTCCATTGAGCAAGAACACGAATGAATCAACCGAATGAGATTCCTTCTCTGTGGAGGTATCTTTTGTTTTGTGGTACAGAATGAGATCGTCCGTATGGGGATCAGCTAATGTCCAGATAGCACTGTGAGAATTAACCTTAAATCCAGCACCGTACCACGTGTCGCTGTGCTGAATAGGGGCAGCAACTGGCCGAAGCAAGAGCTTCTGGAAGAAGGTGGGATTCAACAGCTTTCCATGGTGATTGGTATCCAAACACTTAACAAATCTCATTATATCATACACGTTTGATTGCCACCCTAAAGCCGAGTCCATATCTTCTGGATTTAAGATGTCATATAAAGAGACATCGCTATCCTCAAATTTATCAATTGGACCATTTGGTCCATTGATGCTGGTTCCGAGGTTAACGATTTCGGAATTACTTCTGACAGGCCCGACTCTTGTATGCCACATACCACAAGGAATTAAGATATTGTGTTTTATGTAATCTTCATAACCAGTATCGGCAACTTCTTCAATGATTCTTCCCAGGATAAGATACCCGAAGTTGGAATAAACCATTTTCGTCCCTGGGGTAAAATCCAGCTTTTGGGAGATCATGTAGCGCATCGTGTCATAGGGTGTCAAGGGAGCTGTATCCTTCATGACTTTGAGAATATCCGGAACCTTATGACCCCGACTTATATAAACAGAGTTCATGACTGGGTCGTATATCGGGGGTTTATTGAGGTTCCACCCAGCAGTGTGGTGGAGAAGATGATTAATGGTGATATCATGGATTCGAGGGTCCTGGACTTTCTTATAGGGTTTTATCATATGAAGTACCCCACCTTTACCGAATATAGTTTGTTCTAAACTCAACACCCCCTTCTCAGCCAGCTGCATGATGGCCACTGCTGTTAAAGATTTGGAAACGCTTGAGACAGGAAACATTGTTCCGGCATGTATGGCGTTATCAAATCTATCAACTCCAAAACCATTGGCGTAGACAAGTTTACCATCCTTCATGGCGGCCACCGACCCTCCATTATAGTTATGTTCATCCAGAAATTGCTGGAACTTGGTACCAAATTCATCATTAGTGCCATTACATCCTGAAAATAGACAAGATAAGAAATTTAAACATACATTATGTAAGAGCTAAATCTGCCAATTGCAGGTCTTTCTTTAGGCCTGAAATGTTATATAAACTATTAATTAGACATTAATTAACTTATCCAGACCATAACCAACTGTCGATGGCATCGCTAGCCTACGATATTTACTGGATTACATCCCAATCTGCTGCGTCTGATTAAATCAAAAAATGGATAATCGAGACTATGTTTTTATTATCATACCGACATTACTAATGATGATCGAGGCTAGGCCCAAAATTCAATCGCTAAATACTCGGTTCAGGGTGGATCAATTTGACTGAAATTTTCAACAAATTCCCTTTACATTATCTAGTTTTTAATTATTATAGTGAGAACTGCCAGCTCTTAATCTAATCTCCCATAATGTTTCTTTAAGTGTACCTCCTTGATATCAATTACTCTCATTTTCATCTGATTAGTGGTGATTCGCGATGATTAACACGTCGTAAAGTGGATTGCTCTTAATAAATAAACACATCTGATTCAGTTCTAATTGGTACTCGGTCGTACTCGAGGCAACCTATACTTACATACGTATAAATAATTAATGGCTGGCACTGATGTCATTAGCAACCTTAGAATTTAAATAAATATAGTTTTCAGCGACAGGGCCAGGAAACGTTAATAGATGGCTATAATTGTACATGCTGTGAGGTATAATTATTTCGCAGTTATTTGATATTCTTTTCTTTTTTTTAAAAAAAAAACCAGAGAAAATGTGTGTGTTTTTATATTTTGCACGTGGAATAAAAGGCAGTAATTAGATGGTATTGTGTTTCGTTGCCATGGTATATATAGAGTTACATCCCTTCTAAAATTACCATAAACTAACTTCTAAAAGACTATAATTATAGAATGATAAATATACACGTATCTTTGTGTGAAACGACACACATTTGGCTCTATAGGCGGTCCCCAAACCTTATACCATGTAAATTGATACCTTTCTTTTTTTTGGACAAATATAAGCAACGGTCATCTTACGGTCAATGAACACACTAAAATGTAGACTACACTTCATTTTAAAAAGACATTTCAAATGAATAGCTCGTTCAAATAAAATTGGCTGTCGACGGGATATTTTCTTTTTAGAGATAAATGTACGTTGAAGAGGGATGTGTATGATCCATAGCCCATCTTTAATGTCCTTTTCGTTCATCAAAACTTCGCTAATGGCCTTTGAATCTATAATGGTGGGGACAAGGCATAATAGTTTTAATGACATGGGATTGACGCATTATTAGCGAACTTCATTTGCATATATATTCATAATTCTTGTCATACATTTAGTTTAAATATATCAGGCGAGCTACTGCCAAACACAACCGTAAACTTTGTGTGTCATTTTAATGGTAAAGTTATTCTAGGAGTTTAAATCAGGCTTATTTGGAATGACAGAGTGATTCTCATTAGTTCTACACGTTTTTCTTTTCATTTTTTTTATATCCTGAACTTTGAAGAAATGGCGACAAGTTGGTGTCATCTGAATAGGTTTCAACTTTTGTATTGGTTTTTTACCCCCGGAATCTCCTTTCGCAGCTCCCGACAACGCCACCTGTATATGTATCTTAAATTGTCAAAATCTTGGTGTTAAGATATGAGCTTTCATTCCGAATGAGAGAGAGAGAGAGAGAGGTTAACATCCATGACATAAAGTAGGTTTCGTATGGTTCAATTTTATTTCAATAATTCGCTTGCGCGTAGGGGTCTTTCAATGGCAGACATGCGACCCTACTCCTTGTCACGTACAACCCGGGAATTGAAACCACACCAGTTGATTCAATGACAGACAGACCTTTTGATACAACACGCATGCTCCAACACTCCTGTATTATCTGGCATTACATGATAAGCCTATTGGTTTGTTATTACAACCCACACAGCAAAACACTTAATAATCGCAACTTTTTCATTTCTAGCAGTAACAACACGTTCTTTGTGTGCTGAGTTAAGATCTAAATTATTTTAGGATTACAGTGGGTGCGCCTATATGAACTTTATACATGATGAAGGGATTATGCTATGTTTATTGCACGGTTACCTATATGAACTTCATACATGATGAAGGGATTATGCTATGTTTATTGCACGGTTACCTATATGAACTTCATACATGATGAAGGGATTATGCTATGTTTATTGCACGGTTACCTATATGAACTTCATACATGATGAAGGGATTATGCTATGTTTATTGCACAGTGACATAATAATACAGTGAATATTTTGTGTCAACTGTAAAAGCGTTTACTTCTTAATTAAATTAGGGGGATCACGTGGCTAAGTGGGTAAGACGCTGGCTCGCTAGCCTGGAGGTCGGGTGTTCGATCCCTGCATTGGCCGAGAAAGTTCATCCAGATTTTCCGGCGTGGTTCCCCCCTTGTCAGTAATGCAGGACAGAGGGCCTGACAAGGACAGCTGTCTAGTCCTTTGGATGAGACGAAAAACCGAGGTCCCGTGTATACACTGTATGGCGTATGCCCGTCTTCATTAGCCCAGTTTAGGATCAGAACAGTAGGACGTTAAACCCCATTTCATTTCATTTCATTTACTTAATTAAATTCTTAAGGAAGTTTTGTCGGTTGTTATCGACTTGGTTATTCGATTTTCGTCAATGGCTAGACGAATTTGTGTTACATATTAGTTTCTAGGAAAGTAATCCGCTTGACTACCCTTAAAATTTGGCTATCGCACCGTTCTTCATTTATGTGTCTGGTTAGTTAATGGCCCCGATATGTTTGGTGTCGAAAGGAGCATCACGTATTATGTATGTAGTTTACACTGAGACTGACAAGTTAGTTTTATTGTTTTTAAATGGTTCACAAAAATAGTGTAACAAGAAGTTTGTTAGGTGAACTCTTTCATTTTAGAAGTGTTCTTGACGAATAAACATGCCTGGCCTCGTGTACAACACCAGGCAATACGCATTGCTATATGAAGCGATAAGTTTGGAACTGTATTTTAGAAACAGAACACAAATGAAATGAAATGAAATGAGGTTTAACGTCCTACTGTTCTGCTCCTAATGGGCTACTGAAGACGTCATACAGTGTGCTATGAGGGAAATTTTGCCCGGATAGTGGCACTGTGGCCTACTCTTCTATCGAATTCAAACTGCCAAAGAAACCGAACACAGTAGTTCAATGGGATAATAGAAATCGGTAGTCATTTGACCTATTGTCTAAAGCTCGGTCCATACTACATCCGTATTCATAAACGTATTCGCATCCGTATCCGCACCCGCCGTTCAAATAGAAAACGCGAAAACGTCCGGCTTTCAAGGCTGAATTGTCCGTCAGAGATTGAGTTTCTATTTCGGGAGATGATGTAATAAGGGCAAAGTACTCGCTGATTAGCTAAAGCTCGGCTCACTAGCCGAAATGCCGGACGCACTTTACAAAAATACGCTCTGGGAGCAATCAATCCGGCTTAACGGACGCAGTTGTTTTTGTGCGCGATACGTGCCAGATTCTATTTGAACCCTTTCTCTAAAAATGACTAAAGTATACCAGTACTTATCCACGCACATATTTACAGATACGGATACGGATGTAGTATGAACGGACCTTTATTATTATAAGACCAGATCTGTTGAACTATCTTGTAATTAATGTGATCATGTTAACTTTCAAAAGACTGACTCCAGACAAATTACCCTATTATCATATTAATCTTACAATGTGTGATTGTAGAGATTATTATAAACATCCCTTCTATATATCATATCTACAAACATGACAGTTTTTATAGTGCTCAAGTTATTCTAGATGAATATAAATTGTGTAATTTTGAGAAGAACTGTCTGCTACACTGTATATATTTAAATAATAAGTATCAAACCAGATTACATATGGTGGCTGTTAGCGGCCATTCTATATTCTCGACTTGTTAAGGCGACAAGTCGAAATAATTGTATTTTGTTGACTTGTTGGGTTGTAAAAAAGTCGACCGAATTGAGCCCACAATTTCAGGTTCTACGTTTTTAAATAGTAAAATTCTATCAGATAGTTTTGTTAGATGTTAAGTTATTTGATTTAATATGCCATGCACTAGTATTTTGTTAAACATTAAGTTAAATTCAAGCGCTAAAATCTTGGTTCAGAGTGGATCAATTTGACTGAAATTTTCAGCAAATTCCCTTTACATTATCTAGTTTTTGACTATTATAGTGAGAACTGCCAACTCGTTATCTAATCTCCCATAATGACCTTTTAGATTAGTTATTTGATTTAATATTCCATGCACTAGTATTTTGTTAGATGTTAAAAGTTGCAATTTCATATTTTTAAGTTATATTTTTAAAATTTATTAAAATAAAGCCTTAAAATAGATGGTATCTATAAACAGTCCTACCTTGTTAAAAAATAATCCTATTAATCCTATAATTCACTATTGCCAGTTGAGAAATTAGCAAAAATATCATTTTCATCTTCAAATTTCAACGTTTGAAGATAACTACTCCATGGTGGAGAATAGAAAACAAGGGAGGTAATTGTGTTATTATTTCCAGGGTCAAAGGATTTTTAAGTGGGAGAATAATACCTATGATCGTATAATAGTGAGTTGACAACCTATTGAGCAAAAGACATAGAAATAATTATGTTTTGACTTTCTCAGAAAATATGAAATTGTAACTTTAGGTTATTTGATTTAATATGCCATGCACTAGTGTTTTGATTGATTGTCACGGTGTATAGATGATAACAGATGGTTGATGGAGGAACTAACCGGAAGGTTAATAAAAATATTGATAGTTAACAGTGTGTGGTTTATTTATTATCAATCTGTCCACATAATTCACCAAGGTGTGCTTTATTTATTATCAATCTGTTGGAATAATTCACCAACGTGTGGTTAGTATAATAAATATATCTGTAGTCTAAATAGTAAATACACGTATATGGATTACTGATTTCCTGTATGGCTTAGGTGCAAATACTTTGTGGTGGCATGGC